CTGACCCCAGGCATTGATGTTACTATTGTCCCCTAATGATATTTTATGATTTATAGTAAATTTTTTAAATAAAAACCTAAATAAAAATCAACCCAAATGTACAAACCATCAACGCAGATAATCATTAAAACATATTATGATAATACACTATACATTCATTATAAAGAAAAAAAAATTTTTAGATTTTGCGCACGCAATAAAACTTGATGCATAAAAAAAGTAATTTTTGCTCCTGCACTCGTGCACGTTCTGCGAGAAACAACATGTAACGAACGATTCAATGCCGATCTGTCTACAAAATTTTACCATGCAGTCGCATACACATATCTATTATAGTTTAAGAAATATTAACGATGTTACTATTGTCCCCGGTCTCCCCTATTAGTCTATATTTTAATACTATTTCAAATAAAGCTTTATATAAAATATGTATGAAATATCTATTATATATAACATTTCACAAAATGAATATTAATAAATATTTATCATAAATATTCTGTGCTATCTGGGTATATGCACGTGCGGCGATTAGCTCACAATATAATCGCGCGCTTCAACACTTGTCCTCGCGCCACTTCATAAACACGCTTATTGACATTGAAAAGCAAAGATGACACCTTTAGCCAAGGGAATAGGAACGCCAGGCATATCGGAATCGAGTTTGCGACCAAGTAAAATTAAAACTACAAATTAAGCATATTTTATATGCAGTGTTGGATAAGTTAACTTTTTTTTTAACTAAGTTAAATTATAGTTAACAACCTTGAAAATTTAACTTAATTAAAATAAAGTTAACATAATGAAATTAATTGAATTAAAAGTTAAGTTAATAAAAAAAGGAATTGAAAAGTTAAAAGTTAAATTTAGTCCGAACGAACAACCAAAAAAAAAAGAAAAAAGAAAAAGAAAAAATTGACCATTTTACATAATTTTTCATATTTTTCCTTTCTCACAGCATATTTATTAAAGAATCTGATTATTTTTGTTCACGAGTAACGATTATACAATATAAAATTACTAAATTATATACTCATTGTCCTCTCGCATTGTGTTTGAGAATTGATTTTAAAAAAATCAAATTAAAAGTTAATAGTTAGTATTAGATAAAATGTAACTAAATTAAGTTAAAAAATTAAGAGTAAAAAATGTAACTAAGTTAAGTTAAAATTAATTAACTTTTTAACTTTTTAACTTAACTTTTATTTTTTTAACTTAGAGCACTATCTAATCCTGTTTATATGAAATAAAATTATAATGTTATAGAATACATTCTGATTGCTTTAATTGTCTGTCATACGCTACATTTCGTCGCTCTCGTTCAATTCGTCGATTTTATATAACGTCATAAAACCTTGAATGTATGTACGCAACGAGAGTTTATTGTCCAACACGTAGTCAATTACTGCTATTTATAAGCGAATTACTGTGGTCCAATTAAAGATCTGTGCATGGAATGATATATGTTATAATTATTCGGCAACAACATTGACACCGTACCCTGGTTTACTTACTATAAATCATGCGAATTGTAACAGAATGAAACAATTAGATACGTGCGAACATGAGATGTACTTATGTATATATTTATGACAATACAGTGCCTGAATGAAACATGCCCAATTTAATTTAAAATTAAAAGATTGAATGTTTTATATGTAAATATGTAGATGCAATCTAAGGAAATTTCTTATAAAATTATTTATTTTATTACAATCCAGACAGCATACAATATTTGTAAAATATTTATAAACAAAATGTTTATAAATATTTGTAAGATTTATTTTAAATATTTTGTAAATATTTATATTTTTGTGGTCTCTTAGATTGCACAGATCATGAACATTTATTATAAATAATATGAAATATTTATTGTAAATGTTGTAGTAAAATGCTGTGAAAATACTTAATGATACATTATAATCCAAGTAAAAAATACTTTTTAGAAATATTTATTTATATTTGTCATATATATATTACATAAAATATTCGGTTATATTTTAATAATATTTCGAATAAAGCTTTATATAAAATATATATGAAATATCTATATAACTTTTCAAAAAATGAATATTAATAAATATTTATCATAAATATTCTGTGCTATCTGGGAATTATAAACATATTATATTGCATAAAAGGTAAAATTTTTTAATGTTACTTTATTTAATTAGACGTTTACTGTGACGTGTTTGAGGAATTTATTAAACACGAGATAGTCTCTAGTTAAATAAATCGCTCATCACTCATCACGTCCAGTGTGCAATAGGCAATACGCGGCGTACGACACGCGTCCAATAGACGTACAGCTCTTGTGGAAACGCAATACGTTGATTGGATATCGCGCATCGCATGTCGCGTATCGTGTTAGGGCGCGTTCACATCTTGACGGAAACGCAAAAAGTGGAAAAGCAGCAGCCATTACTACCAGCACGAGTTGTAATTGGCCACTGTTTTTCCGCTTTCTTCTTTTCTGTCAAGGTGTGAACGCGCCCTTATACCATACCGTGCGAATATCTAAATACTGTGCGTTCAAAGTTCGATAGTTTACGTCAGTGTTGCCAGATGTGGCGATTTATCGCCTAACTGGCGATTTTCGACTTGGTCGGGCGACTTTATTTTCGGATTTGGCGACTGGCGACTTTCTTGGCGACTAAATTTCTGAGGTTGGCGTCTTTGGCGATTTCTCTCTCTTTCGTCTCCAAACGCTGGGAAATTTTCTGATGCGCTGATTGGTGGCTGCTGATTTTTTAATAAATATTGAAATTTCGCCGATGGGTGTTGAGAACATGTGTTATATTACAGTTATATTAGGTCTGTTCGCGTTGCATGAAATCCCCAAATATTTTTGCACTTAAAATGAGATAGATATATATCTGGCTTTGAAAAGAGAGAAAGCGAAGATGCCGAGTGCCAAAAGTGCAAGCAACGCGAACAGATCTATTGTTGAGTGAGAAATTACAATTAACGGGTACGTTACATGTAACTTAGTGTTTGCTAGGATAATTATTATAAAACTCATGTGGTTGTGTGCAAATTAATCACGTAATGTGCATTTCGTTTAAAAAGATTACCAAAGATACTTATATAATGTAATTATACAATAATTTACCAATGTTATAAATTTTGAAAAACGAATATAAGAACTCGCACAATGTGTTTATTTTATTGTCAAAGATTGAAAAAAGTTTATTGTGAACGATTGAAAATAATATAATACTTATGAAAATATGTAAAATAAAATATATATGCAAAAAATGAAGTTTCGTTACATAATTGAAATGATCATTGTTTCTCTTATTATTTTTTTTTGTTTTAGTTAAAAGTTCGAAGATTTTGGCGATTTTGTTGGCGAAAAGTTACAAAAATCTGGCGATTTTTGTAACGAGATTTCACTAGAATCTGGCGATTTTATTGGCGACAATTCACCAACAAAATGGCGACTTTTGGCTACGAAAAGCTTCCTAGGGGGCGATATCAGCTAGGGTTTATCTGGCAACCCTGAGTTTACGTTCGCATTGTTCGCAGAAAGATTTTTTCGAACCTCAATACCGGGTGACGGGCATGTGTTTTATGCAAGAAGACTAGCAATACCATCTGCGCTTATACATCTCTCCCTCCAAATGACATTTTCCCTCTCCTCTAAAAACCATCTCCCAAACTTTGTCGCCTGCTCCTTGCCTTTATTAAGTCCAATAACTTAATTATCTAAACATCCTTGCTCGGGCTTGTCTTGTGTTCCCTTAGATATTTCGAATTAACGCGGGCTTTATTCCCACACTTCAGGCTCAATACTCAGCGCGACACTTACGTTACTCGCCGCCATCTTACGGTGGCCATATTCGATATTGGCCGTATCGACGCTGTACGTGATCGAGGCCATTCATTTCAAGAAGAAGCAAGAAGACTAGAGACCAGGAGAGTCAACTCGCGTGGTGGGGGTGAGTCAAAAAGTCCGCGGTTATTCACACGATGTGCAGCGGCACTGCGCATTGTGTGAAAGTTCGATATAAGAGCGACAAAGTGACGATTATAGAACGATCAAGAAGACTAGAACCAGGAGGGTCAACTCGGTGCCAATAGCATTAGAACGGATGAGGCAAAAAGTGGAATCGGATAACTTCCCCCACTCTTGCGCTTCATTAGTCCTCTCTGTCGCTCTACATAGTCGTTTTCAATTCGTGACTGCGCATGTCAACGTACTTTAACCAAACTTTCTTTAAAAACAAACTTTGTTTCTATTTAATTGAATTTTAGACTAAATATGATAAAACGTGTAAAAATTTAATCCGATGTGGCTTACGATGACCGAGCGAGTGTGCTGTGTTCGAAATTGTGACTTCAATCCTGGAGATAAAAAAAATCGAAGAACAGTATTCAAATTTTGTGAGGTACGTATTGATGAAATGTAACCTGGAGAAATGTACAAAAATGTGATTTAATAATGTCTGACATTTATATGTACATATTGTAATACATAACAGTTATGTTAAATCTCAATTATTATATTGCAGAAATCTCCATACTTTAAAATCTGGATAAATGCGATTGGACCAAACTTGAAAGATGGAAAGAAAACTCGCAAAAATTATTACATTTGCGAACGACATTTTGATGACAGTAATTTACATCGAAGTCCTATCAATATATTAAAGGATGGAAAGGAGTTGACCCTGTTACGTAGACGTCCAACATTAAAATCGACAAGTGTCCCATACATTTTTCCAGTAAATATTAAAGTCACATGTAATCTATGGCGTTGCTGCATATATGTTTCCAGATAATAATTGAGCACTTGATGTAACCGAAAATTTTTTCTTCAGGGATATGCAAATAGAGAAAGAAATGTACATCAATCTTTAAGACTTATAGATTCAAATCATCTTGAAAGCTCCTCGATTATAGATTCAAATCATCTTGAAAACTCCTCGATTATAGATTCAAATCATCTTGAAAACTCCTCGATTATAGATTCAAATCATCTTGAAAACTCCTCGATTATAGATTCAAATCATCTTGAAAACTCCTCGATTTCCCGTTTTTCTGACAAAACAAATCACAGCATTATTAACTATCAGTCACTACCTTTACTTTGCGACGAATCCTCACCGCTGCTGCATACACCAATGGAATGCACTTCAGAAAATGTTTATAACACAACGGTTTTACTAAAGGAGTGGAATGCGAGACCTTCTTATCAATCCATGGGGTCATGGAGTGTGACGAAAACAAAGTGTGGATTACTTTTCATACTTTTTGAAAGCACTTCAGAACATTGTAACAGTACAATACAGCGTTCTTTACTTGTAAAGAATGACATGACTATCGAGGTATTTTAAAATTTTTATACGTTACAACTTTTTTTGTATATGAATTTATCTGCCTACACTATTGCTCATTTGGCTTGTTTATTTCAGTTACATGCTCATAATCATCCTGTCACTTATCATCTTTTGGAAAAGGTGACATGCCTACAAGATATATATTTTTCATTGCGAAGAATAAGTGCAATAAAAATGTGCCAAGAAGAGTCCTGCACCATTGGGTACTTTGAGCACAAACTACATTCACGATCCAATCTTTGTAAAGATTGCCAATCAAAGAACAGAAGAAAAAAAGCAAGAGAAAGCAAACGCGAAAGGAGAGCAGCAGCCAGAAAAGCGAAGGAGAACATTTGCAAGAAAAATGTAAAACAAAAGTACAAACGGATATACAACCAGGTTTGTAAACGTTTATTAATGCCTACAAGCTAAATTTCAGTTTTTGAATTGCATACTTATGTGAGTTGACATATGTTACAGGTGGAGAGGTACAAAGTAGAATTAGAGAATTTAAAAGTACAATGTGCCTCACAAAAAGAGGAAATTCTCGACGAAGCAATAGCAAGCTTCCCACCTGTCATGAAGAAGTCGATTAAAGCATGTTGGAGATATGCTCGCTCCAATGACAAGCATGGAATGCGTTATACAAAAGACTGGATACTGGAATGCCTGCTACTAAGAATAAAAAGTCGTAAGGCTTATATTCATCTTCGTTCACATAACATACTAGCTTTACCTACTATTGGAACGCTTAATAAATACATAAAAAACTTCAGCCCTAGTTATGGCTTTGATCCAGCACTTTTCGCAATGTTAAAAGAAAAAAGTACAGCTATGAAACCTGAGGAAAGAAGAGGTGAGTAATGCATTCTTAATAACGTCAAGTTAAGATTTATTTGATAATAATTATTATTAACACACAGTTTATAGTGGTATTGTTTACTTTTGCACAGGGAATGTTCGGAATGATTAGAGGATGCTGCGGATCCACTGATACACCTGATCCCCTGCTATTTATACAAATTTATAGACTCCTGAGCTTCTATTCGCTTGTCCGGCCTCCCAAGGGCTCAAATGTTGAAGGCATCGAAATCTTCGACAGTTTATTGTCGATGAAAGATATATCTATGAGGAATGAGAATAAGGATAATTGGAAGCAGGTACTCGACGAAATAATTACACGTGGAGCGCAGACATCTACTCAGGATGCAAAACAAACACATGATTATGATTATATATCTGATGTGAACGAATACGTGCAAACGTATTTTGCAGGATTCATTTCCAGGAAAGTAGAACGATGGACGTCATGTTCAGAGTGTGTCTTGTAGGTAACAAAAAAAGAAGGGAATTTGCGACGAGATGAAATGATAAATTTGCTTACTAAAGGTTATCTCAAATACCCCTCAGATTCTTTAGTTAATTTGCTTTCAGCTCTTGAACACGCAATTTTACAAACGGTTGGTTTTGAAAAATTAAAATACTACACATTTCAGCACATTTCTCAAAATATTCTTTCAGAAAGTATCACTTTCGTTGGATGTAGTACACACAAAGAAACTTTAACTCGAACAGTCATCAATTATTACCTTATCGCAAGAGCGAAAATCCTGTGTAAGAAATCTAATTGTGCTAATAATGAAGCAAAAAAGAAGGAAAGAGAATTTCGAAAACGCGTGAAACTTGTCCGTGCAAAAAAAACATAGATCGGAAACATAGTAAAACTGGCACAAGAAAAGGAAAAAACAGCTGATAAATCATAAATGAATAATGTACAAAAATAGGGACAAGATATGCAATAAGTATTACGTATAGCTGTTATAATATATACTTTAGAGGATATATGTATTTATTACTAAATAAATATAAATAGAACGTATCAATTTGTTTATTGATTTCATGCCTTTATTAATTCCATGATATATATTTCCAAAAAATCATACGTTTATACAATTGATTGAGTGTTAAAACTTTGTAAGTTTTCAGCAATATTCCGATACAAATGTGGCATTATTAACACATGGTATTAATCGCCAATATGATTTCACATTTCATATGTAATTTGATTATATACAATTTCATTATTAATTGTTTCGCAACAATATTGAGGGCTTATTACAGTTACATTTATTTCAGCAAACGAATCTTATAAAACAATTAATTTTTAGAATAGTTTTTTAAATTTTATACTTCGAAAAAGAAATTATACTTTTGTTTAAAATTTCAAGCATTCTTGATACATTGGTTTCAGAAGTTAGCTGATCCCACTGCATCCAGGTTAATTCCTTGTTGCGATGATAAACTTTTACACGCATATTAACGTCGAGAATAACTATCAAGAAGGTTGCGAGATCATCTTCTGATCGAATGAACTAGACTTTAAGACATCCGTTACGTGCAAGAAGACGGGTAACTTCCCCCACTCTTACGCTTCATTAGTTCGATATATTCAAAGTTCGATATAAGAGCGACAAAGTGACGATTATGGAACGATAGAGCGACAACTATATAGAGCGACAGAGAGGACTAATGAAGCGCAAGAGTGGGGGAAGTTATTCGTCGCCACTTTTTGCCTCACCCCCACTACTGCTATTGGCACGAGTTGATCCTCCTTAGTTCTAGTCTTCTTGGTTTTATGATTGGTTATGTTATGATAACTATGATAGAATAGGCTGGAATAGATATGCGATATACATGTGATTGCAACTCAACGTTGTAATTAACGATAATTATAAACTGACAGTCACGAATAAGATATGTGTTGAATTATATATTCTGAATTAGCGTCGTTAATGGTCGTTAATCGCAATGCCGTCAGTAACGATACTCCAGCGGGTCCTGTCTGGTAAAACGGCGCCCTGCTTGAGTCGTTTATTATTGTTGAGACAGGTGAACAAATTCTCTGACTCCGCTACCACGAAAAACGACAGTAGCAATACATCGAATATCGACGAATCACAAAATGAACGTGCCGCGACCGATGCCGAATCTTCCTTGGGTGAGGAGAACGTTTCTCGCCTTCTGAAGGAAGCTGCCACTTACAGCGATGCCAAGGATACAAATTGGACAACGAGCCCTTATCCGGCCGATGCTCCTATCTTCGTCGAGGAAGAAGTCAAGTCGAACATTGATCCATTAGACACTTGCATTGTGCTCTTTCCAGGACAGGGTACCATAAAAGTTGGCATGGTACAGAAATACTTGCACTTTCCGCAGGCGAGAGAATTGTTCGAGATAGCCAACGAGATTCTGAATTACGATCTGTTGAAACTCTGCCTAAAAGGTCCACAGGAGAAGCTGAATCAGACTTACTTTAATCAGCCGGCCACAGTGGTGAGTTCACTGGCTGCACTGGAGCAACTCCGCGAAGAAAGACCCAGGGTATTCGAAACATGTAAAGCAACCGCGGGCTATAGCGTAGGGGAACTGACCGCCCTGATCTTCTCAGGCGCTTTATCCTTCGAGAACGGCATCAGACTGGTCTCTGTGAGAGGCGCCGCGATGCAGTACGCTTCTGACAAATGTCATCAAGGAATGCTGTCGGTCCATTGTGCTCCACAAGCTTCATTGTTACAGGCGTGCAAGGACGCTGAGAAGTGGGCACATGATTGCGGTGTGGAGATGCCAATTTGTCAGTAAGAATCATTTCAACCAATTTCTTGAATTAAGCTTTGTCTAGACCAAAAAATTTTGTCATCAACATTCTAGATAACAAAACTAGGAAATGTGGGTGACAATTTTAATGGTTCTTTGAAAAAACTTTGACATATGAGTCTACACATTCTTTGTAAGATAGAAAAATTTTATAAATATCTACATTTGGATACATATGTCTGAAATGCATTAGTATATATCCATATTTTTACTTTCAATATTTGTCGACAACTGTGTGTTCAAATGTGTCCTATAAATATATCCCACAATTTCTTGAATTTAAAATTGAATTTTGTTGATGTTTATACATTGTCGACATGTTTCTAACAATGTTCTATTTGGTCTGGACGAGGCTTTATATGCTCCTATTATTACATACATTGTAATTAAATTTAATTATTAAAATTTTGAATTCAAGATAATTTATAATAAATATATATAGAAATATGGTGTTATGTTAGAGATGTTATGAAAAGAATTATTTTGTAGGGTAGCAGTATATTTGTACACTCAATCGAAGATCTTGGCTGGGAATATTCAGGCTCTTGAATATATAGAAAAGAACGCGAAGAAGTACGGACTTTTCAAGTTAACCAGGCTGCCAGTGTCGGGCGCATTCCATACAAAATTGATGGAACCAGCGCTCAAGTCCTTCTGTAAGATACTCTACACGTTACAATTCAACGATTTCAGATGTCACGTCTATTCCAATTACAAGGCACATTCGTACGGCAATACGGCATTAATTAAGAAATACTTGCCGAAGCAAATTATGTCATCTGTGAAGTGGGAGCAGTGCATGCAGCTGCTGTACAACAGACCCGCAGGAACTGCCTTCCCGCGAACCTTCGATGTAGGATCAGGAGGAAGAATGTCAACGATCTTGAAGTTAATTAATACAAAGGCGTACGAACACTGTATAGCCGTCTAAGCTCTTACCATCTAATTTCTTGATAATAACCAAAAGGAAGTCTGAACATTTGACATTATTTTGTACATATTCGTTGATTAGCTTTATTATTCCAACTGTGACATGAGAAAATAAAGAGAATCAAAGTTATATTAGATACGAAAAATATTGTTCTGTTAATAGAAAAGTGACACATCTAAAAATTAGCTATTTTTCAACATTTAAAAAATTTTGAGTTGGACATTTTACTTGGGATAGTGAATGTCCATAACTTCACTTTCTTTCTATGTTATATTTTCAGTTATAATCTTATAATGCGTTCTTTATAACTATGTCACGAGTTCTTTAAAATTCGAATACTACAACTCTATAGCGTTTTTCGCTGGGAAAACTAGAGAAGAAGATTGTAATTTTGCCATATTATATATTACAACATTATAAATATGCATACTTATTTATAAAGGATTTATATAAAAAAATTACAAATTAAGGGGAGAGTACACTTTGACCAGCCTGAAAAGTGAAGATTTTTTTGAGCGTGGATTGCTGGAAAAGTATAAATACAATCCACTTATAATTTGGCACTTTATTAGTACGTATATTGAACTTGTTATGTTGCAAATTTTATTGAAAAATATTGATCTTGCGAGGAATCCGCGTAAAACGTGATTGTGTGTACATCGGTAAACGATTCCATCATTTTGGTTATCCTGAAACAAAAAATCCAAATAGTTTCACAAATTATAATGTACTCCCTATCGTCTGATCGAGCTTGTTTCCATTTTTTTAAATTGATGGAAATAAACATGTTTGAATTTTTGACACATTTTTTGATATTATAAATGTTATATCAAAAATTCAAACATGTTTATTTTGACTACTTGATATCATATAATTTTTTGTATTTTACCGCTAATCGTCCATTTCTGTTTCATAGAATGGATGTTGCTGCTCATCCATCAAGGATGCTCTATTCCTCCGTCGTTCAATTCGATCTTCTTTAGATGCCGCAAACGTTTTTGCCTCGTTTGAACACTCGTGTCGCTGAGACACTCGTGTCGCGTCGAGTTGTTCGCATATTGTAGCCGCATTCGTTCCAATTGTCAAGTTTAGCGTAGCCATCATTAAAAGAATACTTGTATAGCCTTTATTGAAAATATTTGCTGCAATATACGTGGCAATTTCAACAATTTTCTTACCACTAAATATTCGTTTAGGCGCAATCGACCAAATAAGTGTATTGATGCTCTCGTTATTATTTTGTGTAAAGCAGTCTTTTTTTATAATTCTAACATCTTCACCATAAGGTTGCGATTCAACAATGTCTTTGAACATTTTATTATCGCCGTGATCAATGTAAGATAAATATTTCACGCCATGTAAGTCTTCGGATCTCGCGAACATTTCTATCGCTCCGTCCACCTCCATTTTTTCAGTGCTTTCTTTGTGATCGATGGAACACTTATTTCTATGTGATTCTTCCCATGTTTCATATTCTTCTGTATCCAGATTTTGGCTTGAATATTCGCACTGTTTACAGTACAACGACTTGATATTTACGTCTATTACTTGTCCAGAGTAATGGCCAATTAAAGTTACAACTCCATGTAAAGATGAAAAACCTCGTTTCATCCAGGTTCCATCTCCTGAAATTGTAAGGCCTGCCGGTTCTGTTCCTTTTGCATTTGTCGTCAATCGTTTCTCTTCAACGACTGCCTCGGAAAATATTATATCAGCCATAGTCTTCGTCGCGCAATAAATATTTGTCAGAATTTCGTAATATACTTTCTTGCTGAAAATGTTCGGAAGATCCATGATACCGCAAAATTTTTTCGCGCCTTCGTAACCGACACCAAGAAGTCTCATCGCAAAAACAAATCGTCTATTTATTTCATAGGCGTGATTGATAAGCGGACAACAATTTATATATCGCGGTTCACATTTATCACATGTGATAACTAATTTGAATCCAAGTCCGCGAATGCTTCCCTCTTTGAATGAAATATCTCCGTCGCATGATTTGCATTTTATCATGTCACTGAGAGTCGAAAATAGTGTTAAAAAGTTTATTATGCGATATCCATGACTCGCGTCTATTGGCACAATCACCGAACTTGTTTTCAACTTTTTCGCGGAGGCACTAGTACTTGCCGTTTCGCACTCGATCATATGACGATTCAGTGGTTTTGGTCTCTTTTTCGGTCGGCTTGCGCGACCTTTTATTTCCCGCGAACCTTTCTTATCAATTGTCACACGCTTCATTGTTTAAATGAATTGAATATTGGAAAATGCGAAGCGTAAGCTGTGATACAGACATCAACTGTTGCTGACTACAGACGTTCAAACGTTTCGACCTGAAGAAGATCGCTAGTGAACATAACTGTGCGTAGATACGTACGTGCGTCCCTTTCAGGTACTGTAACTCGAGAAAAAATTCGAATATCCACTTGGGACTTTTTGCACATCAATTATAAGACTTCAAACTTTATTTTAAACAAAAAAATTTCGATTTTTTTGGAAATTTCAAAGTGTACTCCCCCTTAAATAATGTATTATGACCATTCTAATGAATTGATCGTAAGATTTAAATTTTATTAGAATTCAACCAATCAGAACAAAGTGAATTACGATAAAGCTTGTAATTGGTCGAGTCGAAGTCTAACCTTTAATTGGCAATCCAGGGGTGCGTTCCAAAACTCGACTCTATCAACTCCGAGTATCATTTATCCTTGTTCTTCATCGAATGTTGAACAAGGATAAAAGGTACTCGGAGTTGATAGAGTCGAGTTTTGGAACACA